AGAAAAGTCAGGTGCTTGTTTGAAAGCGCTAATCTTCTAGTTTCTAATTAGCCTTAGACATCTGCAAAAAGTTGATTATGAAGAAAGTTATGAATGTTTGAATGTCGAAAACTCGCGTGTGCACAAAAAACGGAACAACGGGACGATTTTTTGAAATATTGAACATCCGCAACATTTCAAATACTTTTTAGGAAGAAAACTATTTGAATTTTTAAAATTTTGGTGTCCGGTTCCATGAGACCGCTTCTGAAAAAATATAACCTTCTGAATGGAGGGGTTTGTATTGCAACGTAATTGCTACAAGGTTTAGTTTTTCAGATTATAAAATAAGGAAAATTGAGAGATCGAAAAAATTGGTAGGTTTCTGAAAGTAGAAATCTTTACGATTAAATGATGTATTGGTTTACGCAAAAATTTGGAAATTCCTTCTATTTAATGAATAAAACTTCATGTTGCCTCGATTCCCTCCTCTGAGCGAGACAAGCGCGCGGATTGACCACGGTCCACCACTTCTCCATGTTGGTGACTGCCCACACATCAATGATGAGCATTAAATTATGTGAAAGACATAATAGTTAATACGGGGGTCGTACCGATACCCTCCGAAAAGGAAGGGGGTCGTAAAAATTTTGGAATTTGCGCAACGCAGGGTTGACCCTGTGATGGGTAGGTTTCCCCCTCTTCGAGCTTCGACCTTTTCTTTTCAGGAAAGAAAACATTCCAAATTTCATTTGAAGCACGGCAGCCACCGGTGGCTGCCATTGTCACGAATGGGTTAAGAACTGAGGACAATATGGGTCCTTAACGACCAGTGGTGGTCAAAAATGCTAAATCTTGGCAAAGAGCGCTTGTCCCAGTCACAGAAGTTGGCGTGAACAGGCCTTTCGGCTGCGTGCATACGAAAGAGTCTTCGCACTATATTACTCCTACACTGTCACGGTGTGAACCTACCTGTAGGGAGTATCTAGTGGCGGTTGTGGATCTTGACGTAGGCGTGAACGGTGTTGTATCGAAGGTAGAAGTTTCTGACGTAGGCGTGAACGGTGTTGTATCGAAGGTAGAAGTTTCTGACGTAGGCGTGAACGGTGTTGTATCGAAGGTAGAAGTTTCTGACGTAGGCGTGAACGGTGTTGTATCGAAGGTAGAAGTTTCTGACGTAGGCGTGAACGGTGTTGTATCGAAGGTAGAAGTTTCTGACGTAGGCGTGAACGGTGTTGTATCGAAGGTAGAAGTTTCTGACGTAGGCGTGAACGGTGTTGTATCGAAGGTAGAAGTTTCTGACGTAGGCGTGAACGGTGTTGTATCGAAGGTAGAAGTTTCTGACGTAGGCGTGAACGGTGTTGTATCGAAGGTAGAAGTTTCTGACGTAGGCGTGAACGGTGTTGTATCGAAGGTAGAAGTTTCTGACGTAGTCGTCATCGGTGCCGTAGTGAAGGTCGATGGTCCTGACGTAGTCGTAAACGGCGTTGTAGTGAAGGCTGGGAGTCTCGGCGTTGTCGTTGTCATTTTTGTCTTGGTGGGTGGTGAGTGTTGGTGTAGGCGTTGTTGGCATTGTGGTGATATTGGTTGGTCCTGACGTAGTCCTTGTCGGCTCTTTAGTCGTCATCGCAGATCCTATCGAAGTCGGAATCTCTTGCGTGGTGGGCAAAATCGGTAGTGTTGTTGCTGAAACAGTACCGTATTAGTCATCACATGTGCGAATTCGTCCAAATCGGTAGCCTGCTTTCTGAAATAGATAGTGTGGTGAATTTTATAGAGACTGTGATCGAGAAGTTAGCAGTATGTAGTGCTGTCGATGTTGGTGGTAGTGTTGTTGTGCTGGGTAAAAGTGGTGTCGTCAATGTGTACATGGTTGTATGAAGTCTAATTGTCTTATTAGAATTGTTGTTGACGAAAATTCGCTTGACTGCGTAAATAACAATCACACAATCGGAGTAAATTGAAGAACTTTTTGTTTATTAATTTACGACAGTTTGAAGGCGGCTTTCACGCTAAATTTAGTGTGGGAGAAAGAGAAGAATGCATAGGAAGGTGGGAGACCTGTTCAGGAAGATCATACGGTACTTGCCGTAAAAACTGAAAAATTCACGCGAAAAACGCGATTTTGCGTTTTTTCGTTTGTTATAACTCGGTTCAAAATTGAGCTTTTCAAAATCCAAAAGATGTTGAATTCAGCTCGTCGAGTTCTATAAGAATGTGCTCAGTTCTCTAGAGGCACCATCTTGGATTGCGCCATGCACTCGATTTTCATCTCAAAAAGTAGTTGCTCGCATGTGATGTGTATATAATCCCGCTTATGCGGGCTGACCGCTACACACAAAGAAGGGCCTCAAAACTTACCCCAGAATGCGCCACGTACTCAATCTCATCCACTACATTGTGAGATTAGATGAATGTTATTTTCCGAATTCTTAGATCTTCATTTCGTTTTAAGCGCTTACTGGCTTTACGTGTTCCCTCTGCTCTCAATATCCCATCCTCTGTATATCAAGTGGAATCTTTGAACAGTTCTCAGCAGGCATAGTGGGCCTATTATGTGACATTTTCCATTTTCAGAGGAGATGTTTTGCAGAAAGCTGTGAAGATAGCGAACAATTTTCTTCACTTGCGTAGACTACTGTCACTTCTCTGCAGAAATCATATGGAATTGTTATTATTATAATTGAAATTATTATTAAAACATGGAACACTTGCTCGCAGGCGAGCGTTTCCTCCGTGGCGTGACCCCAAACATCACTTTTCGTCATGCCCTTGAAATGATCAGATTTTTTGCTTTTCCAGATGGGCCTGGCCATCTAGAAACCTGAGATGTGCACCAGTCAATTCTACATAAAAAAACTATCAACATTGTTCCCAAAAATTTGTTTTTTCACCGTTTTCGGCCTTCTACTCACTGCCGATCGGCTTCCCAGCCCTTCACGGCCACGTGCGATCCACGTGCGCGGTGCGTGACGCCGTTCCCACGCTCGTGCAACAGCCATAGCGACGTATCGATCGGGCTGCCCGCCAACTACGGCCGAAGGCCATCGGCTGTCACGTGAGCTCTCACGCACCGCGCACGTGAATAGCACGTGGCCGCCAGGGCTGGGGAAGGCGATCGGCGATAGGAAAGGCCGAAAACGGTGAAAAAACAAAAATTTTGGCTGCGAACTATATCATATACCAGTTGTAAGTTTAACAAATTTTCTTGTGCCTTACGAGGTTGTTCGGTGGAACTTTTATTAATGGCCTAACGTTTCGACTGAATCGTCGTCTTCAGAGGCCGTCGGTTCCACCCTTCGAGCGGAAAAGTCCGCTGCCACACAGAGCGCTGATCAGTTAGAACGAACCTCTGAAGACGACGATTCAGTCGAAACGTTAGGCCATTAATAAAAGTTCCACCGAACAACCTCGTAAGGCACAAGAAAATTTGTTAAACTTACAACTGACATGCCGAGGTTACAAGAAGAGAGAAGTTGGAGAATTCTTCGCTATGTTATACACCATTCGGAGGCATTTTTATAGGGAATCGACTGGTGCACATCTCAGGTTTCTATGTTCATCTGGAAGAGCAAAAAATCTGATCATTTCACAAGGGCATGACGAGGAGTGATGTTTGGGGCCACACCACGGAAGGAACGCTTCACCTGTGACCAAGTATTTTATCTAATTCCAGGCACGCAACCGTAGGTCACACCAGTGAGGAAAATTCGTCGCTATCTCCACAGCTTTATGAAAAAAACATCTCTAAAAATGGGAAATGTCACATAATAGGCCCACAATTTCTGCTGAAAATTGATCAAAGACTTTCA